CACGGCTTCTCCAGACCCTTTCACATCTGTCACATGTGCTCAGGGTGAACCTGCTCTCATCTGTGAAAAGCACAGGATGCGAAGGGTGGATTTGCCAATGCTGGTGTTCAATGGCAAATGCCAATGGAGCTCTATGGTGCTGGGCAGTGAGCACAGGGCCCATTAGAGGATGTCGGGCCCTCAGGCCATCCTCATGAAGACTGTTTCTGATTGTTTGGTCAGAGACATTCAAACCAGTGGCCTGCTGGAGGTAATTTTGTAGGGCTCTGGCAGTGCTCCTCCTGTTCCTCATTGCACAAAGGAACAGATCCTGCTGATGGGTTAAGGATGTTCTACAGCCCTGTCCAACTCTCCTACAGTGACTGCCTGTTTCCTGGAATCTCCTCCATGAGACTGTGCTGGGAGACACAGCAAACCTTCTGGCAATGGCATGTATTGATGTGCCATCCTGGAGGAGTTGGACTGCCCGTGCAACTCTCTGTAGGGTCCAGGTATCGCCTCATGCTACCAGTAGTGACACTGACCCTAGTCAAATGCAAAACTAGTGAAAACAGTAAGAAAAGATGGGTAGGGAAAACATGTCAGTGGCCTCCAACTGTAAATTCCTGTTTTGTGGTTCATCTCATTGTTGCCCATCTAGTGCTCCTGTTGTTAATTTAATTAATGCCAAAGCAGCTGAAACTGATTAACAATCCCCTCTGCTACTTAACTGACCAGCTGCAGTCATCATCCTGGTATTGTTTTTTCAGCCGGCGATTGGTTTCATGTAAAAGCAATCCTAGTGGCTAATTAGCTGCAGGATTGCTTTTACAAGCAGCGGGAGAAGATGCCCCCCGCTGCCTTCCACGGCCTTCTCAGGCAGTCCCGTGCCATCGGGGAAACCTGAGAGTGCAGCCGGTGTTTCTGCCAGCTGACCATAGAGCTGATTGAAGACCGGAAAGGTACCAATCGTCTCTATAGCTACGAGCATTTCATCACTTCAGTTTTGCAGGATATAAACAGCTTCATTTGTAAATTGGGAAAGGGCAAAGGAGATATCTAGAGTATGACAGACCCCAGATTTCTCAAAAAAGAATATATGACAATGCCCATTGAAGTTATAGGGGATATTTGAATTCCCTCTGATAGCATTAAAAGTGATTAAAAAAATAAACAACTAAAGGGACAGTGTAAAAATAATTAAATAAATCAAAAAAACTTAAAAAAAAAGTACCCTCGCCTCCCCGCTCACGCGTGCACCTGCGTGCGTGAGCGTTGACCCTGTGCCAGTATGGAAACAGTGGTTGCACTATGCACCATGCATGTGAGGTATCGCCACAAACGTCAGATCAAGGGCAGTAATTCTAGCACTAGACCTCCATCTAAAAGGGTAGCTTGTAAAGGCGTTGCCTATAGATATTAAAAATGTATGCAGTTTGTCTCCATTGCATAGGGCATTTGCAGTTTTAAAGCATGTCATGTTTGGTATCTATTTACTCAGCATAGCATCATCTTTTATATCTTACCAAATAATTGGCCAACATATTGTGTTTTTGTGCATTAAAAAATATAAAAAAGTGTATTTTTTAAAAAAAAATTGCATTTGAAAATTTGCTGCGTGAGTACTATGTGACATAAACATTTGCAGCACCCACCATTTTATTCACTAGGGTATCTGGTTTAAAAAATATATAATGTTTGGGGGTTCAAATTATTTTCCTAGCAAAAATACTGATTTTTTTCATGTGAACAAAAAGTGTCAGAAGTTTATGCCATACACAGGGGTGGACTGACAACTCATGGGGCCCCCGGGCAATAGGGGATCATGGGCCCTTGTGTCTTTGCCAAAACTCAAAAAATCCTATGAAAAAGGTACCAGGGGCATCTCATGGGGCCCCCTACTGACCCCGGCTCCTCAGGCAGTGCCCGAGTTTCCAAATGGTCAGTCCACCCCTGGCCATATATCATTCACTCTTCTAACCACCTGAAGACCAAGCCTTTTCTAATGATGTGCATAAAATACCCCCAAGCCCCAAAATGACTTTTTGGAAAGTAGACACCCCAAACTATTTGCTGAGAGGCATTTTGAGTCAATAGAAGAATTTTTTATTTTTTAGAAGTTTTTAGAAAATGAGAAAAAAAAAAAAAATTACACAAAATTGTCATTTAAATAATTTATTGCTCACACATGCCATAGGTATATGTTAAATTACTCCCCAAAATACATTCTGCTACTTTTCCCGAGTATGGAGGTACCACATGTGAGTGACTTTTTTTGGCAGTCTAGCCAAGTACAGGACCCCAAAATCCAATAAGCACCTTCAGGCTTTTAAAGGGCTTTATTTCCTCATTACACTTCCTGACTACCGATGACAGTTCGGAGGCCCTGAAATGCCAGGATAGCACCAAACCCCCCAAATTACCCATTTTTGGAATGCTTCTTTTTAAATACCTTGGGGTGTCTACTTTCCAAAAAAGGGGTCATTTGGGGGTTTGGTGCTATCCTGGCATTTCAGGGCCTCCTAAACTGTGATAGGTAGTGAGGAAGTGTAATGAGGAAGTTACGAATTCAGGCATTCAAAGTGGTCATTGGATTTCAGGCTCCTGTATGTGGCTAGGCTCTCGAAAAGTCTCACACATGTGGTATCCCCATACTCAGTAAAAAGTAGCAGAATGTATTTTGGGGTGTAATTCGACATATACCCATGGATTTTGTGAGCAATATATCATTTAAGTGACAACTTTGTGTAAAAAAAAAACAGTTTTTTGTCATTTTCCAAAAACTTGTGGAAAAAAAAAATCTTCCATGGACTCAATATGCCTCTCAGCAGATAGCTTAGGGTGTATACTTTCTGAAAGGGGTCATTTGGGGGTGTTTGTACTTTCCTGGTATTTTAGCACCTCAAAAAATGTGATAGGGAGTCAGAAAGTAAAAGCTGTGTAAATTTCAAATTATCTATACCATAGTTTGTAGATGCTATAACTTTCACACAAAGCAATCAATATACACTTATTGGGATTTCTTTTGCCAAAAACATGTAGCAGAATACATTTTGGCCTAAATTTATGATGAAATTTGAGTTTTTTGGATATTTTTTATGACAGAAATTAGAAAAATATCGTTTTTTTTTTTTTCAAAATTTTTTAGAGTTTTTTGTTTATAGCGCAAAAAATAAAAAGCGCACAGGTGATCAAATACCACCAAAAGAAAGCTCTATTTCTGTGAAAGAAAGGACATAAATTTTGTTTCGGTACAGCTTTGCATGACCGCGCAATTGTCAGTTAAACTAGTGCTGCGCTATATAGCAACAAATAGCATAAATTCCATTATCTATACCATAGTTTGTAGACGCTATAACTTTCACACAAAGCAATCAATATACACTTATTGGGATTTTTTTTTTACCAAAAACATGTAGCAGAATACATTTTGGACTAAATTTATGACTAACTTTAAGTTTACTATATATTTTTTATAGCCGAAAGTAAAAAATATTTTTTCCAAAATTTTTAGAATTTTTTTGTTTATGGTGCAAAAAATAAAAAGCGCACAGGTGATCAAATACAACCAAAAGAAAGCTCTATTTATGTGAAAGAAAGGACATACATTTCATTTATGTACAGAATTGCATGACCGCGCAATTGTCAGTTAAACTAGCGCAGCGCTGTATAGCAAATAATGGCGTAAATTGCAGTGTCTATACCATAGTTTGTAGACGCTATAACTTTCTCCACACAAAGCAATCAATATACACTTATTGGGATTTTTTTTTTACCAAAAACATGTAGCAGAATGCATTTTGGGCTAAATTTATGACTAACTTTATGTTTACTATATATTTTTTATAGGCGAAAGTAGAAAATATTTTTTTTTTTTTTTCAAAATTTTCAGTCTTTTTTTGTTTATAGCACAAAAAATAAGCACACAGGTGATTAAATACCACCAAAAGAAAGCTCTATTTGTGTGAAAAAAAGGACGTACATTTTGTTTGGGTGCAGCATTGCATGACTGTGCAATTATCAGTTGAAATAGTGCAGCACCAAACAGCAAAAAAAGGCCTGGTGAGGAAGGGGGGTAAATCCTCAGGAGGGCAGAGGTTATATAAAATTGAAGGTATATTGGTATTGCTCTTTAGGATTTAAACTTTCGAAAGGGGAGCTTGCTATAAGATCCTCACGCCAAGTGGTTTCTAACTTAGCCAAAAAGAGTGTACCAACTCAAGCCTACAAGTCGGTACACAGCACCACTCAGTCAAAGGAAGTGTATGGTCATTGCAATTCTTTGCATATTATACTTTTTTTTTTTAATTTTAGCTTGATGTACTGTAAATCTCATAAATGTGTTATATTATTATGCAAAACTAGTGAAAAACAGTCAGAAAAATGAGTAGGGAAAAAATGTCAATGGCCACCACCTGTAAAACCATTCCTGTTTTAACCACTTGCCTACCAGGCACTTATACCCCCTTATTTACCAGGCCAATTTTCAGCTTTCAGCGCTGCCGCACTTTAATTGACAATTGCACGGTCATGCAACATTGTACCCATATGAAATTTTGATCATTTTTTCCTCACAAATAGAGCTTTCTTTTGGTGGTATTTAATCGCCACTGGGCACTTTACTTTTTGCACTATAAACAAAAAAAGTGCAAAAAATTTGAAAAAAAAAAAAGTTTCTTTGTTTCTATTATAAAATTTTTCAAACAGGTAATTTTTCTCCTTCACTGATGTGCGTTGATGAGGCAGCACTGATGGGCACTGATAGGCGGCACTTATGGGCACTGATAGGCAGTACTAATGAGGTGGCACGGATAGGCGGCACTGATAGACAGCACTAATGAGGTGTCACGGATAGGCGGCACTAATATGCAGCACTGATAGGCGGCACTGATAGGTGACACTGATGATGGATACTGATAGACGGCACTGACTGGTATCACTGCTGGGCACTGACTGGCGGCACTGACTGGCACAACCGCTGGGCACTGACTGGTGGCACTGACTGTCAGCACTGCTGGGCTGCACTGGTGGGCAGCACTGGTGGGTGGGCACAGGTGGGTGGCACTGGTGGACACAGGTGGGTGGGCACAGGTGGGTGGCACTGCTGGGCACAGGTAGGTGGCACTTCTGTGCACAGGTGTGTGACACTGCAGAGTGGCACAGGTGGGTGCATTGCTGGGCACAGGTGGGTGATTTGCTGGGCACAGGTGGGCGGAGCTAGTGGGCGCACCGCTGGGCACAGGTGGGCGGAACTTGTGGGTGGCACTGCTGGGCACAGATCATCAGGGCACTGATCATCAGTGCCCTGATGATCGGTGCCGATCCTCGCTCTGACAACTGCTGGTTCTCGGCAGTAATTTCCTCACGATCTGACAGCGTGAGGAAAGTGCAGCCGAGAACCGGCAATTGCATTTCCCTGTGATCAGCGTGTCATTGGACACCGCTGATCAGGTGGTAAAAGGCTGCTGTGATTGGCCTTTTACCACATCACGTGATCAGCTGTGTCCGTAGGACACAGCGATCACAGAGATCGCCGGGTGCGCGCCCCCTGATATGACGTCCACCCAGAACTGGCCGGTCGCAGTGCATCCGTCATTCGGCTATCTGCGGTCGGCAACTAGTTAAGGAGTTTGTCTCATTGTTGCCCATCTAGTGTACATATTGTTAATTTCATTAACAATAAAGCAGCTGAAACTGATTAACAACCCCCTCTGCTACCTAACTGACCAGATCAATATCCCAGGAGTTTAACTGACTTGATGCTATACTCTGATTAAAAGGTGTTCCTTTAATTTTTTTGAGCAGGGTACATTGTGTGCTGTATAAACCTCCCAGTCACTCCAAACATAACTTAGTGTACATGCATATCACAATGGTCTAATCCTTTGTTAAAACATAGGTCATATGTAATGGGAATATTTTAATTTTTTCACAATTATCTTTGGAGATATCTTGGTGAAATATTTCACAAGACAGAATGAGATTAGGAATAGACAAGTATTCTTACAAAGGTATGAAACTTGAGCTGTTAGGAGAGGGGTACCATCAGTTTGAAGATTTGACAGAAGGATACCAAAGACACTTTCAAGAACATAAGAGAATGACAAGACTGTACAGACAATCTGGCTCAGCTGTGCCTAGTATTCAATCAGCTACTAAGTGTAACTGTCAAAGTTTCATTGAATAAGCTAAATTTAAAAACTGATTGGTTACTATATGAACAGCTGCACCAGAATCTCTGAGCTCCAGTTTTAGTAAATCTCCCCCAAAGGCTATTCTCTAGCACAGGGGTCTCCAAACTTTCCAAACAAAAGGCCAGTTTACTGTCCTTCAGTCTTTAGAGGGGTGGGGCGGATTTTGGGGTAGAAAAAGTCTCAGGCCCAACAGCAGTAAGAGTAAACAAGGTCTCAGGTGTGGTGTTTCATAGCACTTGTGGTCAGTAGGTGCTCCATCATTGCTACCACTGGAAGGAATATTGGCTCATCATTGATGTTAGTGGATGGAATAGTGCCCCATCATTGCTATTAGTGGGAAGAATAGTGGCCCATTGCTGGTGCCGGTTGGGGGAATTATGGTGTCAGGTTTAGGAATAGTGTCAAAAGGGCCAGATAAAGGCTAGCAAAAGGTCGCATTGGGCCACAGTTTGGAGACCACTGCTCTAGCAAGACATAACAGACTTGTCCAAAGATATAACAATGAATTCGCCAAATATCACAGCAAAAATGACTTTAAAGTGTAACTAAATGCAAAACGTTTTCTTCATTTTGGATAGAGTAATGGATTTTTTGCCATCTGTTGTCTACTGGGGTAATTTCCCCTCTGTTAGAGTTCTGATGCAACCAAGAATGTCAGATTTTCTTTCCCTTTCACCTCCAATGATAAGGAGAAACAGTAGAATCTCTATAACGGGGCACAGACAACAATAAAAACTGACAGGTGCTCTAATCCCTCTCTGCTGTATCCATCCCAGTGGATCTGATGTCATACGATAAAATACTGATTGGTTTCATGAGATAAATAGTGCAAATTTTGATGAAAAAAATGCATGCTTTATTTTACAAGAATTTGTTTGTGAATTGCAAAAAAAATTTTGAAAAATGCCAAGATGTAGTTTACTGCATATCTCAAAGCGATAGATAGTGCTTCGTGAATGGAGCCTTGAATGTTTCAAGCAGAGCATTCAGACTAGAAGAAGGTGTCCTGCATTTCTGAGGAGGGAAACATGCAGCATTTAAGGAATAAGGAATCCCCACAAAAGAGAGGTAGTATTTATCCTTTGAATGATAATCAGAAAGTCATTGCTCGAGGGGAATCTGGTAACTGGTCTAAGTGGTATGTTAAACAGGTAGACAGAACATTACAATGGACTCTTGAATAAGAAGATGTTCCGTGCTGAGTGTTGATGAAAATTATGCTACAACGTGGACCATAAGGCAGAACAGTAAACAAGAAGAAGACCCACTATGGAAGAGTTTCACAAGACAAAAAAAGTAAATTACCAGGAAAAACTAAAGGTGAACATTTGATAAGAAGATTTATGAGTTTATATAACGATACAGGTAGAAGGTAGGTGTGTCCAACAGTTGAAGAGAAATTTCACCTATATCATAAAAATGACAACAAAGGCACCTTTTAAAAAAGTTTAGTAATGATAATCTACAGATCGATACTTATAGATAGTTGCAGGTTTTTTATTATTTGCATATCTTATGTTTATTTCAACCCCGATTCTTCTCATGGTAGCCATTGTTACTAAGGGCAGATGCGTCCATCTCCATTTACCTCCTGCCTAGACCTCTGGGTCTGCCTACTGGAACATGTGACAGGAACCTCTCAGGATGCAGCTGTAAGGCCAGGGTAAATACCCATATACTATTAACTCATAATAGATCTGTGATAAAAATACCAAAATATACAATTCATAAAATATACCCAAATAACAGTGATAAAACCAATTGACATAATACTGCTGATTCATAAAAATGTGACAAATCGTGATACTTGTGACACAACTGAATATCAAAAAAAAAATAAAAAAAAATGGGTATATGGGTATTTATTTGAAGTGTTTATGTAATTCTTCACTTATTGAATAATTTTTTAGATAATTTGGGAGCGCTTCACTATTTTAATGCACGGTATTTTTTGACTTGTTGGTTGAGTTTGAGTGATTGCAGCTAGTAGATAGGGACCTACCCATATTAAGCGCAGGAGGATATCTCCCCTTATGTAAGGCCAGGGTGACATCACCAGTGCATCACTCAACCAATGGACAAAAAAATAATAATTGTAAGTGATAGCAAAAATATTTCTTTAAAGTGTTACTAAACCCACAACAGTAAAATCAGTCTGTATATGCAGTAGAGCATGCTGGTTATACACACTGTGGAACCTAAGGGGCTAAATCTCTGCATTGTGTAAAAAGTCTGTTTGATCCTGACTTCTCTGCCCCTCCTCTTGTTCAAATGTCCACGCTGATAACACAGACTGAACCTGTAGCCCTTTTGCACATGCTCAGTTTAGTGTGTATTGTTAGAGAGGTTCTTTTTCTTAAGGGAGAGTGCATGTGATCAGCACAGGGCCAATCAGCACTGGTCAGACAGAGGTCAGGGGTTTTACATCCTCCTAGAGCAGAAAGAAAACTCCTCCTACAAGCTTTAACCAGTGCTCTGCTGAAGTCACAAGACTGCTCTAACTGCTGATGAGAAAAGGTATTTAGCAGTTTATATTTACTAAAATAATTGCATTTCCATGTTGTGTGTACTGTGGGAGACCAGACATAGTGAATGCAGGGTCCTGGGATTATTAACACTTTAACTAAGGAAGGTAAAATGATTTAATTTCTCAGAGAACAGGTGCTGGAACTTGTCCTCTCCGAGTCACCCCTTTTCTCTGCCTTGTACCCACCTCTGGGCACCATTCCTTTGTTCCATCTTCTACCCACCTCCTAGTACCACCCTTTTAGAGTGTACAGAACTATGTGTCAATTCGTGGTGCTAAGTAATTTGTGTGGAAATTGTTATTGATGACAAGAAAAGCAGTAAAATAGATCACCTGCAACTAGCTACAATAACCCCCCCAGTGAAAATAGATCCCCCCAGCCACAATGGATCACTTTCAACAAAATACCTCCCTGCAACAATAGACCCCTGGAAGCAACAACAGATCTCCTTTCAACCAGCAGCAATAGACCCTCCAGCAGCCAGGAACAACAGACCCCTCACTCAACAGTAGATCTCTCTCAGTAACAACGAACCCCCAACAACATAAGACCCACCCCAGCAACAATAGATCCCCCACCAGCAACAATAGACCTTTCAAAAATACCCCCCATAAACAATAGATTCTCCAGCAGCCAGCATCAATAGATGCTTCAGTACGCCCCAGCACCCCTTGCCATTACATAATTCAGTGCCGGAGGTACCGGAACTGCATTCCCCCTGAAAAAAAGCCCTGACTGTACTGATCGGTTGCTTGATTCCAGAAGCAGGTCTTACAGAACATAATCAAGCAACTGATGGTGAGACTGCTTAACCTCTTCCCGCCCGGCCTATGGTCGAATGATGGCCGGCAAAATCTCTCACCTTTCCGGGTGACGCCATATGGCGTCCTTTCGGCCATGCGCAGTTTGCGCGCCTGCAGAGCTGCGCAGCGGTGCGATCTGTCACCAGCCGTGTACCTCGGACATGGCCGATGACAGATCTGAGTACCGGCCCCGTTGCCGGTACCATGTGACCTTTCACAGCAGGTTAAATGACAGTTGTATACAATGGATGGCTTCATTCATGCCATCCATTGTATACTAGTGTGTCTAGCTGTGAATGGTCACAGCGATCACATGCACAAGCTGGGCCAATCACAGCCCAGCTGTGTCATGTGATTAGCTGTGGCCAAATCACAGCTAAGCACAAAAAAACAAAAAACAAAAAAAAAAAACCCCTGAATGAATCAATGTCATTCAGGTAAATGCTTGTTTATAGCAAAGTAATTCTTTGTTATAAGCAAATTGTGTAAAAAAAAAAATACTGATCACTTCCCCAAAGTAGTACAATGTTACTATGGTAAGATTGTACTACTTTGGTCATACTGAAATATGAAAAAAACATCTTTAAAAAAAAGAAAAAAAATGTAATAAAAAATTAAAAATAATAATTTTTTTTTTCATACTGTCACCAGTCAGTGTCCCTGATCACCGCCATGCCAGTTATATGATGACGCTGTACTGCACTGGTGACAGTATGTAAAAAAAATAGTGAAAATCATTTTTTTAATTTGTTCATTTTCCGAAAAATTATGACAAAATACAACTTCAAAAAACTCGCCATACCTGTTATGAAGTACGTCAGACTGTCTACTCTGCAAAAAGGGGTCATTTGGGGATATCTGTACTGTTTGACATTCTGGGACCTCAAGATATTAGATTGGCCGTCAGTACTTCAGGATTGATCAATTTTCAGATCTATCCCATAGTTTGCG